CCCCGGGGCTGTGCCCACCCTGACCCCGGGGCTGTGCCCACCCTTATCCCCGGGGCTGTGCCCACCCTTATCCCCAGGGCTGTGCCCACCCTGACCCCGGGGCTGTGCCCACCCCGACCCCTCGCTCCCTGCCCCACACATTTTCCCCCGGCGGGGCACTCCCGACCCCGAGAGCGTGTGGCTGCAGCCTGGGTTTCAAACACCCCTGCAGCAATGCCAGGCCAGCTCTGTGGTGTCTCTGGGGGCTGGCAGTGCCCCGAGATATCCCAGCCCTCAGCACTGTGCCCTGCGTCACTCTCAGCCTGTGACACGGCTGTCACCTTGGTGTGAGCCTCCAGSGGCCACCACGGCAGTGCCAGGGTAAAGGCAGCCTTGGGCTACCAACGTGGGAATGTCACGGGCCCCGTTGCCCTGGCAGGGCAGGGGACATCACAGCATCCCCCTCCCAGCTGGTGCCTCAGCCATCCATGGCACCATGGACACTTTTCCTTGCCAGTCATCATGTCACCGTCATGTCACTGTCATGTCAGCGTCATGTCACCACACTCGTGGCTGCAGTGAGATGCYGAGCCTGGGCTGGCAGCACCCTGTGCTCTGCACCCCACAGGCCTAAAGCTGCACTGGGAGCTTGGACAAGCAGCAAGGGGACAGCAGGGACACCCCTGGGAGCTCCCAGCTCTGTGATGAGCTGCTGGCAGCCCTCTGCCACCCATCTCAGGCTTGAGGAGGAGTTGCTCTGAGCCCACCCGTGGGCAGAGGACGGTCCCACAGGCACCATTCTGCACCCTGCTGTGCCCTGTGGCTCTGGGCAGGCTGTGGGGACACCTCAGGAGAGGTTTATGCCCTCCTGAGCTCCCAGCACAGTGCTTCAGCATCTCCAGGGAGGGCTGATGTCCCATTACAGGGCCCAGGCTGTGGCACATCAGTAGACCAAGGGACAGGAGGAGCATTCCTGCGGCAGGAAAGCTGGAGGGAACCTGCAGGGGCTCGGGGAGGATGCTCAGATCCACTGGGCTCCTGATTCCCAAACCCAGGGGGAAGGAAGGGGCAGGCTGAGTCCCAGCAGGACCTGGGGGGTTCCTGTTAYGCCAGAGCCTGGGGGCATCGCCCACCGAGAGCCCCTCTCCCCCTGGGGGCATGGCCTGGGTACATGGGCTGACTGTGGTGCTTCCCTGGGGGCTGCTGTCACTGTCAGGGCCGGGGGACCTGAGGAAGGGGGTGCTCGGGGTGGTCTGTGCCACACAGCCCTGCCAGGCAGCCACCAGCGTCCCCGGGATGGGAAGAGCTGTGGGTGGGCTGTGCATGGCTCGGGCAGGAGCCTCCCGAATGCCACGCGGCCACCCTGTCACCCCTTGGCTGGTGGCCCAGGGCAGGGCACGGTGCTGGCACGTCCCACCCTGCTCCAGGGACACCTGCCTTGTGGGGTGGGTGGAAAAACCTTCCCCAGGGGCAGAGTTCCAACCACAGGTACTGGCAGCCAGGTACCCGGGCACGGGGCAGCCCCGGGCTCAATCCCTGCCCGGATGCACCTTCAGGCTCTGTGTGTGCCCAGCACCCCTGCCTTCCCGGGGGCTCTGGGGCAGGGATGGCCGGGGATGGCACGGGGATGTCCCTGTGGGATGCTGTGTCCAGGAAACRCAAGGGCCTGGCAGCGCCCGGCACTCGTGACTGCGCTGCGCAGGAATGAAGCCGGGGCAGGTGAGCGGCGCCCGTGACCCGGTGCCTCCTGGCTGGCACGCTGGCCCTGCCTGCCGGGCTGGGGATGTCACCAGGGGGACGGGACAGGAGCCACGCTGCCCTTGCTGCTCCCCGTGCCAAGGTGGGCTGTCGGTGTTTGCAGCAGTCTGTCACCGCTGTGGCACAGGCGACGGTCTGCTGCCACCACGGGTCTGAAGGGACAAGGGACGAGGACCCTGAAGTGACGAGAGGCAGCTGTGCAGTGCCAGGGTCTGCTCTGCTCCCAAATGCCTCAGCCTGAACGTGCCATGGATGTGGCTCAGCAAAGCTCCAGAACCAGGGAGGTGCCCTGGCTTTGGCTGGGACTGGCCTGGGGCTCCCAGGGCTAAGGCCAGCAGGAATGTACCTTAAAATGGTCCCAGGTACCCCTCCCCAAGGGCCAGAGGGGTAGGAGCCACCAAATTTCCCCCAATGCATCCCACAGTCTTGCCTTGTCCCTTGGCAAATGCCCCCRGTGACAGTGCCAGTCTGCCTGTGCCAGGCACGTGTGACACGGCAGGGAAGGGGCTGTCACTGCTCTGCAGCTGTCCCAGAGCTCCCCCAGGCAAAAATCCACCCATTCTCACAGACAGAGCAGCAATCCTCAGCAATCCTCAGCAATCCTCAGCAATCCTAGCCCGGTCTCTGCTCCACCCCCACAAACACCGCCTGTCCCCTCCTGAGTCCTGCTCCCACGTGTCCCCTGTTCCCACCGTTTGTCCTGCTCGGTCACCGGGACCCCCTTCCTGCTCTGGAAAAGCTGTGACTGTGCCAGGCCGAGCCTGTGCCCCAAGCACGGCCAGGGCACCCCACCCACACCCGCTGACCACCAGGGCCGGGCTGGGACACCGTTCCCGGCTCCTTTGCCACCCCAGGCGGGGACCTACGGGCCCCAGAACCCTCTCCGACCCCACGGGTGTTTTTGGCTGCGGGAGCTGAGCGAACCTGCTGCTGCTGTGAGCAAACAAACACGAGCCTGGCAAACGGCAGCAAAGAAAACAACCCGCGAAGGCAGCGCGGGTGAAACTCTGGGCACCGGCGGGGCACGGGCTCTGACAATGATTAAACTGGCCAACCCAGATTTCCCGGCAAGGCAGAGCAGGGCTGGGACCCGGTGGTTCGTATTATGCAAATCACCTGGATCTGGGAGCATGAACGTTTGGGGCTGGAATTCCCCTCGGGCTGCCAGATTGTTACGCCGCCCAAGCTATAAAAGCAGAGAGGCGGGCAGGGCTTGCCCATCGGCACCAGCCTCGCGGGGCCCATGAGCAGTGGCTAGCGGCCAGCAGGGCTCCGTCCATCTCCCCTGGCTCCTCTCTGGATTAGCTGCCGCTCCCGGAGCTGCCATCGCAGAAGGTACCAAAGCTTTTTTTGCCGAGGCCCGCTGACGTCCCCTGAGCCCAGGACAGCCGCTCCGCTCTCCTCCCCGCGCACCTTCGCTCTGGCCGGGGATGCGCCTCGCTCTTTGCTCGCTCCACGTTCGYTGTCCCTTTGGGGGACAGCGGGACARCAGCTYCCCCTCCAGCCCCCGGGGTTTGGAAAAGGAACGGCACCGTTTGGCTTTTGTGAGCRCCGGGCAAGGGCTTGGTCCCCTCCTGGCTGCTGTTTTTGGGATGCGCTCCTTGCGACTGGTTGAGAGGATTGGCGCTGTGGCACTGGACAGTGGGCAGCCGGAGTGGGCAGTGGCCGAGTGTCCGTGCCCCCCACGGAGGGGCTGTGCCACACTGTGCTCTGCCAGCCACCTTCTTGCTGTCCCCCCTCGCTGGCTGCCAGCAGGGTGAGGTCAGGCTGCTGGGGACAGGGCTCTTGGCAAGCCCGGTGACTCCAGGTCCCGGCTGGCCGCGGCTCAGCCTCCCTCTGTCGTGGCCCCTGAGGAGGCGGTGAGTCAGGCCCCAACCCAGCCGGCAGGTGCTGGGTGGATWTTTCTGCAGCAGTGACCTGAGAGGTGACGGCGGGCGGAGCGAGGGACAGCCCGACCTCGCCCAGCCTGACCCCGGGGTGCTCTCAGGAGTCAGTCCTGGCTACCAGGAATCAGTCCTGGCTAGTAGGAGTGCTGCGGGCTGGGGTCCCCCTGCCTCCACGGGGCCGAGGCTCACTGTCATTTCTCGGCACAGAGCTCCATGGCAGGATCTTGTGAGATCAGCAACATCTTCTCCAACTACATCAGCGCCATGTACCAGCCAGACGAGGTGCAGCCAGCCCTGGACGTGCTGGGACACCTTGGGGACGACAGCAGCCTGGGGCTCGGCCTCCCTGCCAGCCAGCCCCCAGCTCAGAGCACAGGTAGGACCAGCGGGGTGGCAGGGGTGGCMCTGGGGAGCTGGCAGTGCCACTGGCTGGGAACAGCACTGCAAGGTCCTTATCACCCTGGGACAGATCAACAGCTTCCCCCATGCCTCAGTTTCCCCAGGGAAAGGCCACAAGGGTTGGGACGAGACCCTGGGTGGCACAAGGTGACCGGGGAGCTCATCTGATTTATAGGGGACATGGGGCAATCGTTGTCCTCCTTCCCCAGCATGGCACAGGGGACAGGCTGCCAGGGCTCACCGGGAGCAGTTTGGAAGTGTAATTTTGACAGTGGGGGACCATCATGGGATAGTGCTCAGGGCAGCATGATAAACACATCAGCAGAGCAGGGGGGATCGCAGCACTACCAGGACAAATGGCACCAAAACCTGCGGTGGAGGCAGTGTGGGGTCATTTGTGTCCACAGGGCAGGGCGCTAAGGACCCTTTAGTACCACAGCTCTCCAAGTGCAGGGCCTGCAGGGTCACCACGGGAGCAGAGCAGGTGCCCAGTGACCACCAGCAGCCCCCATGTGGGGCTGGCATGGCCGTCCCGCTCTGAGCCCCGCTCTCRCCCCTTGCAGACAAGCCCGAGTGGTTCAGCGAGCTGCCCTACTTCTGGACCAAGGTGCAGGTGCTGGAGTGGATCAGTTACCATGTGGAGAAGAACAAGTACGATGCCAGCTCCATCGACTTCTCCTGCTGCAACATGGACGGGCACGCGCTGTGCCACTGCAGCCGGGAGCAGATGCGCCTCATCTTTGGGCCCCTGGGGGACGAGCTCTACGACCGCCTGCACGAGATCAGTGAGTGCACCGAGCTCTCCCTCCCCTGCAGCTCCGGGGATGAGGCTCAGAGCCTCCACTAGCCCATTCCCCGCCATTCCTGGGCACTGTAGAGGGTGTGGGGGCACAGGTCCAGAGTTCAGGCATGGCCAGGCTCAGCTCCCGGTGTGCACTGTTCCCTTCACATGGAACAGGTTTTGCTAATCCCAGTTCTTCACTCCTGCAGCCTCTGATGAACTGAATTGGATTATTGACCTGCTGGAAAAAGAGGATGCGACTTCCCAGCCCTTCCTGAACTCCAGCCACCTGGGTAAGAGAGGGGCCCTGGCCAAGCCTTCTCTCCTTTTCTGATGGCACCAAGGCCAACCCTTCTCCCCTTCTCTGCCCCTTCCAGAGCTGGGAAATCCCTGCACCAAGGACTCCCTGGAGGACTTAAAGCCCACAAACCCTTTCCTATCCACAGACTTCACCTGCTTGCCGGGTGCCATGTCCCCAGGCAGCTCTGATGTCTCAGGTCAGTGTTTTTGTTTTGGGTTTGGGTCTTGCAGCGGTCTGGTGGTAGGGGAAGCGGTGGGAACCAGGGGGAAAGGYCTCCCCATGCCAGCAGGTCTGAGCTCTGATCCTTTGCCTCTCAGGGCCTGTGATGTCCCACAGCCCCAACTCTCAGGACTCCGGTGGAAGTGACCTCGACCTCGACCCTGCAGAATCCAAGCTCTTCCCTGATGGTGAGTTGTGTCCACCCAGACAGGAGCTGGGAGGGGAGGGCTGGCTCTCGGCCATTTGTGCTCACCCTGCCTGGCCATGATTTAGGGACAACACTGAAYACCCATCCTCACACTGGGAAGGAGRGAAAGGTCATTTYYCTGAGYGCTCTGCYTCTRTTTCTCTCCACTGAGCAGGGTGATGGGCAGGGCTGGCATAGYTGGGCAGCAGTGGGGGAGGGGGGGGGGTGGTGCAGGTGGGTGAAGACTGCAGCCAGAGATCCTGGCCACAGAAATCAGTGTTTGGTACTGATCTTAGCTGGTGGTGATACCGGGAATACCAGGAATGCCAGGAAACAGTAGGGTTTGGGGAAGGAACAGTGTCCTGCCCTAAGCATAGTGAGGTGGAGGGAATGGGGTCACCTTGCTCTCGGGTTTTTATTTCCCTGGTACCTGGGCCTCAAAAGAGGGTCCTTCTGGTGCCCAGGAGGACAGGGAGGGGGCTGCAGCCCAGCACATGCTGCCCAGCCTGACGTGTGCCCCTCTCTGTGTGCACAGACCACTTTCCAGGCAGCAAAAAGGGTGACGGCAAACACGGCAAACGGAAACGGGGCCGGCCCCGAAAGCTCAGCAAGGAGAGCAGAGACTGCCTGGAGAACAGGAAGAGCAAACACTGTACGTGAGCCCTTCAGCCCTGCAGGAGCCTGGGCTGCCTCCCCTGGCTTCATGGGGCACAGTGGGAGGGGGAGCCACGGGTTTGGCTGGGTTTGGGGAGGTCCAAAGTGCAAGGAGCTGCGGGAGCTTCCCTCCTTGACAGCTYCCTCTCTGTCCTCTTTCAGCCCCAAGAGGCACCCACCTGTGGGAGTTTATCCGGGACATCCTGATCCACCCCGAGCTGAACGAGGGGCTCATGAAGTGGGAGGACCGGCGTGAGGGCGTCTTCAAGTTCCTGCGCTCGGAAGCGGTGGCTCAGCTCTGGGGCCAGAAGAAGAAAAACAGCAGCATGACCTACGAGAAGCTGAGCAGAGCCATGCGGTGAGTGCCCTCCCCACGCTGTCCTGGGGGACCTGCCCCGCTGGGGCTCAGCCTGAGCAGCTCCTCAGGGTGTGGGGCAGCACCCGGAGTCCTCATTCCACCCCCCTCTCCTGCAGATATTACTACAAACGAGAGATCTTGGAGAGAGTGGACGGGCGACGGCTGGTGTACAAGTTTGGGAAGAACTCGAGCGGCTGGAAGGAAGAGGAGGTGCTCAACAGGAACAAGGAGCTGTAGGAGTCCTGGACGAGCCAGGGTCTGCCAAGCCCCTCAGGGCCAGCCCTGAGCTGGGCTCCTTGACAGGAAACTTTGCCTGAAGCTGTATCTGGAAGCTGCTGCCCCGTGCAGCGTGTGGAACTCGCGTGGGCACGCTCGTGTGTGCCGGTGACTGCCAGCACCGAGGGGCTCAGAGCCACATTTTGGCTCCAGTAGGTTCTTGCCAAACRTGCTTTCCCTTGTTGGATTCGTACCTGGAGCCACGGGGACTGGGGCTGTTTCAAAGCCTGGACGGATGCAGAGGGGAAGAGAAGTTGTGCTGTCACCCCACCTCCAGCTGGGCAGCRGAGCAGCACATTTGTGTCACCCGTGACTGGACAGGGCTTGTCCCAGCTGGGGGGTGTCCCCTGTCACTGCTTGCACCRTGCCCCGTCCTGCTGGCTGCACGTGGGTTGGGTGAGGCCCCCTTTGTGGAGCAGCTTCTCATCTATCAGAGAAGATGACAACATTGTGGAGCTTCCCCTGGCCCCAGAAAGCCCTCAGTGAGAAGAGGACGTGGGACAGCGTGCTGCATTTTCCAGCCCAGCTGTCAGGCTGTGGCTGGAGATGGGCCTTTTCCTCAAAAGTAGCTTCTAATTTATGTAAGACCCAAAAAAACAAAGCACAGAGTGAATGTACAGATATATTTTTTCACGACTGAGATGTTCCAGTGTGAGAGTGTGTGCTGTGGGGCACACAGGTGTGTGGTGGCAGGTGGTGATGCTCAGCTGGACTGAAGTGATGTCACAGGGCACAGACTGGTGCTGTGCCAGCCACGGGAGGGGACGCCAACCCAGCCAGGCACCGGGCAGGTGCATGTGGTTTCCTCCTTTTCAAATGGGAATATAAGATGAATAAATTGTTGGTTTGTTGGGTTTTTTGTACCTACCTGTAATTTTTCTTGTTTTTTCTTAAAGACATGGTGGGGACCAGGTGTTAATTGGGATGTCCTGTGGCATAAACCCTGTCTGCCACTATCTCTTGGGGTGGCACAGGGGCACAGGGTCTTCCTCAGGGGGAGGGGCCTTGTCCCAGACTGGCTCAAAGCCACTCATGGAGGGGCCATCTCACACCCTTCCCAAACCTTGGCCCTTCAGAGCTCCAGCCCTGGCCCTGGCTATCCCTGACGCACAGAGTTCACCTCTCCCAGGCTGATGGGAAGCCAAGTCCTGGGTGCTCTGGGGAGGGGATTCTCTCTCAGCACCCTCCCCATCAATCTCCCCAGCCTGAGTGGGGGTGACAGCCTGGGGCATGACCTTCAGCCCCACTCTGGCCTGCCAGGGAGCCATGAAGGGACATCAAGAAGCAGCACAGGCATTGCACTTTGGTTGATATTGATTAATATTAATCATCTCCCAGCCTGGCTGTTTTCTGGCCTCTTCCAGGACCTGGGTGACATCAGGGACCACATCTCAGGAGGGGGGACTGCACTGACCTGCCAGTGTGGGCAGCCCAAGCACATCACCAGTGCCATCTTCTCTCCCCCAGCTGTGAGGAGGCCTGGAGGTTGTCCAGGGATGCTGAGATGATCTCCCCAACCCCGGGACACCCCGGTGGGGTGGAAAGAAGGAATTGAGGGTGCTGGAGGCCAAGCAGGCTCTCAGATCTGTTCCCAGCATGAACCTGGCAGTGTCTCTGAACACTGCTGGGCACCAGAGGAGCTTGGTGCCACTGTGCCCTTCTGCTGGTGCCCAGGACCTGCTGAATGTGGGCACACAGGGCACTGGGTGCTGCTCAGTGCCTGCTCACCCCCCAAGAGAAAAACCCTGGGATTTGTCCTCGGAGCTGGGAGCTGCACCAGGTCTGGGATGCTTGGGTAAAAGCCATGGCTCATGCTCTGGGTGGTTTCAGCCACTGCCTGGAGGGAGTGAGGCAAGAAGCCAGACCATCAGCAGGAGGGTGAGGGGAGGTTTTGGGGTGCCCCTGGACAGTAAAGATGCCTTGCAAAGCCTGAGATGCATTTTTGGCAGGGGGATCCAGGCATTATTGTAGAATCATTAAGTGCAGAGCAGTTTGGGATGGTAGGGGCCATAAAACCTTTCTCATTCCACCTCCTGCCATGAGCAGGGACACCWTTCCCTATCCCAGGTTGCTCCAAGTCCCACCCAACCTGGCCTTGGGCACTTCCAGGGCTCCAGGGGCAGCCACAGCTTTCTGAGTGACTTGTGCCAGGGCCTCCCCACCCTCACAGGGAAGGATTTTTTCCTAATATCTAATCTAAATCTCTCCTCCATTAATTTAAAACCACTCTCCCTGTCTGTCACTGTCTGCCCATGTTTCCCTACTGCCCTTCATTGCTGCCAGAGGCCTAGTACTGTTCACATCCCCACCCTGCACCTGCAGGAGTGGGACACACTGTGAAAGGGAGCAGTAAACCCTTCAGAGCAGRTCTCTCACAGACCATCTGGGCTGTCCCCAGGCCCTGTGCCGCCTGAAGCAGCTCGAATTGCTCCCAGTGTGCCTGGCCTCAGTTTGAGTGTGAGGCTGGTTGCTCGAGCATCCTCCTAGAGATGCTGCAGCAACAGCAAGGGCATGACCTACCTGCTCTGCAGGGGTAGAAGGTGCACATGGGCCAGACCCAACTTCTTTTTTGTGGGTTTGACTGCTGTTTACATGTGGAGCTGCCCTGCTGGTCCACCTGGGATACCTGGTCTCACATGGAGACCTCTTTTCCTTGCCTTCCAGTGTGCTGGGCTGAAATTGTGTTGCTCCCAGATACAGGCTGGGATGAGGTGATCAGAGCTGCCCTGTGGTGCAAGGAGAGATCCCAGTGCCTGGGTGTGACCCTGGAGCCAGTCCACGCCCTGGGCTGCAGCCAGCCCTCCGTCATGTCCCTTGCGTAACCCTCCCCAGGGAACAGGTTTTCCTGGCTGCTGCCTGCAGTGTGTGGAGGGTGCTCCAGCTCCATCCCTGCCCTCCCGCAGCTCCTGCAGGGCTGGCAGCAGGGGTGGCAGCAGGGGTGGCTGCAAGGACAGTGTCCAGCCTGCCACCCACACCAGCAGCACAGGTGGGAGGG